AGTACGTACCTACCTACCTACAACGAAATAACTTACTTAATTAATTTAGTTAGTACGTACTCCTCCTACTAGGTAAACGTAACGTTAGTATTATTTAGTTAGTACGTCTCTCTCTCTCTCTCTCTCTCTCTCTCTCTCTCTCTCTCTCTTGGGGGATTGGAGAAAGCCACTAAGCTCCAATAAAGTCCAGTGGCTCGCATGAAGAACTTATACTTGGCTTAGACCATCGCACAGGAATAACTTGAAAATGATTCAGACACTTGTATGTGGTTTAGACCATAACCTCCAAGCACAAAATTACAATATGATTAAGACACTTGCACTTGGCTTAAACCTCCATGTTCCTGTCACACTTGAGTATCCCACTTATCGCGCTCTTGACAACTTATAACCAATTTTATTTCCTAAAATTAGGGCAGCTCCTTTTTACCCAAATCTTTATTGAGGATAAAAAGGATTTCATGGAGTATTTAAACACTCACTCCCCCTTTGGACAATATCGTTAAAACAGTCGAACCACCTAAAAATATTAGTGAGACGGTTAAATCAATATTTTGACCAACTTAGGTTTACTTTTTCAAAAATTTTGCTAAAAAACACTCAAATAGGTTTGCAACCTTCAACAAGCGATAATATTTTAGTAATTTGACTTAAGTCAATGACTTAAATGCTCCTACTTGTTCAAGGTTGGAAACCCAATATATGGTTTTTTACAAATGAATATTGGTTAGTCACGCGAGTCAAAATACTTAAATAACCCAACTTATTCCAAGCACCTAGCCTAAAACAAGATTTTTTTTAATGAGAACATGCTCAAAGTTTGCAACTATGGGTATTTAGACCACATTTGGATACCTAGAAATGTGTATCCAAGAGACCCATTTCCATAAAGACTAAGCATTTTCGCATTTAGATGCCATTTGGAGATAGAATATACATATTTTAGTGGATATCTATCTCCATGTTCTGAGGCCAATACGTGGAAATGTATAATATTAACATTTACCATTCCTATATTAATGGTATTATAATGCAAATAATATAATATTATCGTGTAGGCTGTTTAGATCACATCCGGTAGAAATCAAAGAAATGTAAATTTCTTGTTTGGATTGCTTGCAATATCTTTTTTTTGGAAATACAAATGCTTTCTCTCTTTAAAATTTTTGAGATAGTTTCTCTCTTTAAAAAATTTCTCTAAAATTTTAATACACTCTTTCAAAAACTTAAAATTTGAAATTCTCCCTCTAAAAATTTTGAGATAGTTTCTCTCTCTAAAATTTTTATATACTTTCTCTCTCTAAAATTTGATAAAATTTCTCTCTAAAATTTTGAGATACTTTCTCTCTCTAAAACTTAAAATTTGAAATAGTTTCTCTTAATAAAAATTTTCTGATAGTTTCCCTCTCTAAACAATTTCTAATAGTTTCTCTCTCTAAAATTTTCAAGTAGTTTCTCTCTAGAATTTTAATGTGCTTTCTCTTTCTAAAACTTAAATTTGAGATAATTTCTTTTTAAAATTTTAAGATAGTTTCTCTCTCTAAAAAAGTTTAGGTACTTTCTCACTCTAAAATTTGATATGGTTACTCTCTCTAAAAATTTTAAATGCTTTTTCTCTCTAAAACTTAAATTTTGAGATAGTTTCACTTTCTAAAATTTTCAAGTAGTTTCTCTCTCTAAAATTTTAATATACTTTCTCTATCTAAAACTTAAAATTTGGGATAGTTTCTCTATCTAAAAATTTTAAAATAGTTCCTCTCTCTAAATATTACTTTATCTAAAATTTGATATAATTTCTCTCTAAGTATTTCAAGTACTTTATCTAAAATTTGATATAATTTCTCTCTCTAAAGTTTTAAGATATTTTCTCTATCTAAAACTTAAAATTTGATATAATTTCTCTCTCTAAAAATTTTAAGGTAGTTTCTTTATCTAAAATTTGATATAGTTTTTAATCTCTAAAATTTTAATATGCTCCCTCTCTAAAATTTTAATATGCCCTTTCTCTAAATGTTTTGAGCTCTCTCTAAAAAAATTTAGATAGTTCCTATCTCTAAAATTTAATTTAGTTTCTCTCTCTAAAATTTTAAAATACCCTCTAAAATTTAATATTTGAGATAGTTTCTCTCTCTAAAATTTTAATATGGTCACCCTAAAACTTTAAATTTGATATAGAATCTCTCTCTAAAATTTTGAGATAGTTTTTCTCTAATTGTTTTTGTATATTTGCTCTCTCTAAAATTTGAATTAGTTTCCTTCTAAAATTTTAATATGTTTTCTTTCTTTTAAATTTAATATAGTTTTTCGCTCTAAAATTTTAATATTTTTTTTTGCTCTTCAGCAGCAAAATGGATCATTTTCATAAAATGTCAATTCCAAGTGGAATTGAGATTTCCAAAATTTAGGCTTAAAGTGAGTATTCAGGAATCCCACGTAAATCTCAATTGCAACGGAAATGTTAAGCGAACCAAACACGATTGGCCTAGCTTTTCTAAGAAAAGTGACTCCTGTAAATCTGAATCCAATGAGCCAAACGGGCTCTAATGGATCTTGTTTTAGCAGATTTAAAAGGATTGCGAACAAACACTTTGTTTCATCAACTCATAATGCTCTTAGACAGTTGTTTGCGGCTGGTTTCTATGATATTTAGGGCCCTTTATATTCTGGTTTCAAGTATCCTCTGGTAACTAGCAAGTTATTGAAGAAAGCGCAAAGTCTTTATTGTGTAGCATACTCCTGAGAGAACATGCTACACACTTCTACTGCTCCTGAAGAACCACACCACACACTTTTTTTTTAACAATAGTGAACTGGAGCACATTATACATTTATTCAGATCTGAAATTTTGAGATCCACTTCATAATCCACCCCATTAGCATTGTAAAGAGTATACATGTGCGTTTGCGCAAGCACTCGTGCGTGCATATTATATATATATATATATATATATAACCCCTCCAATTCCCAAGATTTCAAATATAAACCCTCCTGTTGGCATTCTATCCCAAATTAAATCTTCAAAGACCCCCTTCTGTACAATACAGCCCACTCTTCTATTTTTTTCTTCTCATTATATACCCCTGTAAATTTCTTTTTTCCTCCTAAGTCACCACTACACCAAACCACAAAATATGGTGATCTCTATCGGCCATGGCTGCTCTGGTTTTGTTGATTGAATCATTTGTTTCATTGTCTTGTTTGAAGGTGCACTGTTAAAGACTTGTAGAGAGTAAAGACATTTAGCAGAGGTTTCAGACATAGGAAAAGAGAGGCTTCCCATTGTAAATATCCGTTTCCGTGATGCCCAGCTTCTAGTTTTTGCACAAAATTTCCAGTGTTTCACATTGGCTTATGGAAGAGAGAGAGAAAGTTCCGAAGCTGACCCTAAATGATCAAATATCATTTCTTTTGAGACCAACTTATTTTGAGTCCCAAACTCATGCTGAGTGCATGATCTGCTTCTTTCTTCCTCTTCCCTTGTGTCTCCATCTTTTATATTAGCTCTCTCTCTCCCCCTTAACAAATGCTCACCAAGCAAAAACCCTCGAGTCTTTTCTTTCATTTTCTGCTCTTTCCCATATATTTCAGGACTCATCATCCCTTGCTCCATCAAAAATACTTCCTTCTCTCACCAAACACAAAAGCCCTGAACCATTCTCTAGCTTGCCCAAACCTACAATACAGGGGCACTTCTCTCATCAAATGATAAGATGTCAATCTTATATTGCATAAGAAAAGGTCACCTTAAAAATCCACTTGAACAAGGATGTTCTGACATCAAAAAACCCTATAGTTGATCATCTCAAGATGTAGAGATATAAAAAAGTAAACATTTCAAGTTCTAAAATTTGTACATCTAGTAACACGTTATCTAGACTGTCAATTTCATTTTAAATTGTTTATAATTATTCTCAATCTAGCGGCTGTCACTTGATGTGACAGTAAAAGGCTCGGGTAGCCAACACAAGAGCGCGGGTTCGAATCCTAAAAGGATTTCAAGTTCTAAAAATTGTACATCTTGTAACACTTTATCTAGACTGTCCATTACAACATTTTAAATTGTTTATAACTATTCTCAATCTAGGGCCGTCACAGTAAAAGGCTCAGGTAGCCAGCGCAAGAGCGTGGGTTCGAGTCCTGACAGCGCCCACTCTGCGCATAAAAAGCCAAAGGTTACGACCGTTTCCAGCTAACCCCTCCCAGGACCCTGCATAGGCAGGACCAACACTGGGTTACAGCTTTTTTATATAACTATTCTCAATCTACACCATTTTGGAGCTTTAAATTTCATAATTATAATAGAAAATACATTTTTTTTTTAAATCATCTTAAGGGTTTCCGACATTGGAACTGCAGTTTTTAGCAAGATTTAGAAGTGAGCCTCAATGCCTACTACAAACCAGCATTTAGATACACTTCAAGCCGCCATAAGATTTTCTCGAGATCAAATTCTGCCCATGTACCTACAACATGATTTCATTTGAGTAATCAAAGCTTGAAAAATATTTATGCTTAAGTTTCACAGAAAATCATAATTTCTCATGAGCATCATGGAACAAGAAATGCCGTACATAGAATTAGAGTTGGCTGGGCAAAGTGGAGATACGCAATCAAAATTTTATGTGATCGCCACATACCAATGAAGCTGAAGGGATGTTCTATAGGGCAACTATGAGATCAACGTTGCTTTATTGGGCGACATATTGGCGGTTAAGACAAAACATACCTATAGAATGAGAGTAGCTCAGATGAAAATGTTGAGATGGATGAGTGGCAAGACAAAACGGGATAGAATTCAAAATGAATACATTTAGAAGAACTTAAGTGTGGCTCCAATAGGTGATACGATGATAAAAAGTAGACTTAGATAGGCTAGCTGTGTGCAGCGCAGACCCAGTACAACACCTATTATGAGGTACGAGTTGGTTCTAGTGGATGACTCAAAAAAAGTACGGGTTACGCCTAAAAAGACATGATTGAAAGAAATGAATAAAAAATATGGGGACTTCTAACCTCACTGATGGCATAGCCCTTGATAAAGTAGTAGAATGGTGAACCAAGATTCGTGTAGCTGACCCCATATAGTTGGGAAAAGGCTCAAATGATGATGATGATGACCATGGAACAAGAAATCCAAACCCGATATCGTAAATATTGACAAGAAGCCCTTCAATATCCAGGAAACATACCCACACCCAATAGTCTTATCCAAAAATCTTTAAACGCTTTGCCATTTGTCAATTCCCAGGTACTCAAGTTGAAACATCATTTCTTATGCTTGTTTCCTTTTCTTTTTCTTTTTTGCTATTTTTTTCCCCTTTAACCTCTCTCATTTTCCTTCAACTTTTACAGGCAATGCATGTTTAGGTCTACAAGAATAAATCAACATGTTCTCTTTCTACAATGCAGAAAAGCCCTATAAATAAAATGAAATGCAAGTAAAACTCTTCCTGACTTTTCTAGGATTCCAATAGTTTCTTTCTATCAAAATTTTTTGATAATTTAAAAAAACGTAATAAATCATTGGTAAGTACTATCAATAGAAAAGATTACCACTCTAGGATAGCATGCTTCATCCTTGGACGTTCCGAACTTGGATGTGGTGAGAGGACTCTTTACGCCAGATCGGTTGTGTACCACTCTGGACAAGGGTGACCTGCTCGCCCCCTTTCATCAAGCCTTGGCTCTAGTGAAACACAATTTAGAAGACAAGTGATAGAGAATTTAATAAATGAAATAAGAATCAAAACCAGATCTTTCACAAAAATATTGAACTATACAAAAAGACTACGGTACTCGAAAACTACTTCATTACCAGCAAGCACGAGAGGGCCTTAGTAAATGTTTCTTCTGCATCATTTGAAAAATGCATATATATGGGATGCACTCCATGATAAAGAGCCAGCCTGTGCTTTATTCTTTCTCTGGAAAACATATTAGGCCAAAATTTTATTATATAGAAAAAGACAGAACTGAGGTCTGTGTCAATTTCTAAAAATGTATATATGCATGCATGCATCCATGCACTGCGTGTATGTTTATATGCATGTATAACCACGAAGTAATTCACTACATAAACATAGTTTCATCCACCTCACACATTTGATTGGAAAACCCTAGTCACCTAATAACAAACTTTTTGCAAAAAAAAAAAAAACATACCAGTCAGTTGAAGCCCATAGATAAGAAAAGTCATTTTGGGGAGAAAACTTACACATTTGTGAAAGCAAAGATCGGTGCAAATGGTCGATAGTGGCTCAATAATATGGCCATAGATCCAGTTCTTGTGAAGACAATGATGGGTGTTCCAAGCGTGTTCGCCATTGTAGTTGCATGAAATGCAAACATTGTGCCCATGTGACTCTGTTTAAAATCCTCCAGGTCAAACAATTCCTAAAAGATACACATGCACATATGCACGTGCACGTGCACCGACACACACAAAGAAACACACGCACACACACAAGCATAAAAAAAAAAGGAAAAAAGAAGAGATGTTTCAGTCCCGATATAGTGAATTCAGAATAAGTAACCACCTGGAAGGTACTGGTGGCGACTGTAAGCCTTGAACCATTTATAAGAGTTGTTTCTGTTCTCAAAGCTACTGTGTGCATAACTTTCACAGCTTTCAAGGGATACCTGAAACCATGAGGCAACAATCAGAATGGGTTTCAGACTCACTCCCAGTCATACATATAACATTCATCATAGCTCCTTAAAAGACTCCAATAAAAATATGTCCATGGATAGCAAGGAAGAGTCACTGCTACACTAAAACATTGTATATGAGAGTTTTATTTAAATCCATTGTGTACATAATGGGGTGTATGCAATGCTCCCGCTATGCACCAGAAACTATTAACCGAGAATAATAAACTGTTAATTGTTTCATGATGCAGACTGAGACTGACAATAACATCTGGACAAGTACTTTTAAGAGAACTCAATTAAGAAGATTGAGCTCAATTGTCATGTAATTGACAGCAGAAATCAATGTCTTCAGGTTCTCCAATTCTCCAGTTGTCACCCATGTGACAAATCATCTATTGAATCAAATATTAACAAGAGGCTCAACAAAAGATACTCGAGAGCAAATACTGATTTAATGAAAACTGCATAAAGGACCCAAGAGTTTACATGTCAAAAAAGGATTAAAGAGTTCTACAAAATAAAAAAGATAGGGAGAACCTACTTCCCATGTGCCGTTTCACCAGACAACATGATTGCATCAGTGCCTTCTCGAACAGCAATTGCAATGTCAGAAACCTCAGCCCTCGTCGGAGTTGGGTGGTTTATCATGCTTTCTAACATGTTGGTTGCGACTATCACTGGCTTCCCCATGCTACGACACCTTGTAATGATTTCTTCCTGATTAACCATTAGGGCATGATAAAATGGCTTTCAAATATAGACAAGCATAAGAGAGAAGCACATAATAAATTATCCCATAATTAACTCGTAAAGGTATTTTGTGAACTGCCACAGTCGAAAAAGTGTGGCACCCCCTCATTTCTCCATGATTTCAGATGTTTGAGAAATCAATACCCTGCAGATCCGTTTGTTTCCCACCTATATCATAGATTGAAGAAAAAGGATCTCGAGCCATAAAAAGGCTCCATCTTGAATGTCATCACATGTGTCCTGGACAATCAATTTCAAGTGGAGCCCAGTACAGTTAGATCTAGGCTGAGAATGAATCAGATCGGCGGATCCACCGGGATCTGAATTTGGATCCGAAAAGTATACATGGGATCCAGATCCGGATCCAGAATATTCGAATCCACATCTGGATCCGAAAGGTATATATGGAATCTGGATCCGATCGGATCCAGAAAAATTGTTGTATACATTATGTAATAAAATAATATATAACAAAAAATACTATACAATATATATTTAAAAAGTACTATAGAATATATATTTATGTATATATATAAAATAACATATAATATTTTAATAACTGGGTCAGATCCAGATCGGATCCACCTGTACTCATATCCGATCTGAATTACTATTTGGATCAAAGATTTCGATCCAAATCCGACCTGTCAGATCCAAATCTTGGACCCATACCTAGATTCGGATCAGGTCTGAAATTCTCGGACCGGGTAAATTCTCAACTCTAGTTAGATCCGCATCATTTTAGGAGCTCCTAATTAAGTTTCCCATGAAGGAAAAGGATTTGCATTTAGAATGGTTGTTGGGTCCTCAATCAATCAAGAAGATAAACTATTGTGGTCCAATGGTTGAAGATGTGAGTCCAGTTGGTTAGAAAGTTCGATCTTGTGATGCCTTTGAAGTGGCGATGATTAGTGGCCCAAAAGGTGACCGAACCCCTGATGGTGTCGATAAGTTTTAACAGGGGTTTATCTCCCCTTGGAATATACGGTTGTTGCGTTCCTTCCAAATGGTCCACAAAGTGGCATCTACCGTAGCTCTCCAAAGCAGAGCACCAGCTCTCGGCCAAGGAAGGAAGGACAAGGTGATGGCCAGGTTTTGAGGGGTCACCCAGGACTAGCCAAATGGAGAAAGATTGGAGCTCCAAATTACTGCTGCTACATGGCAGTGGAGAAAGAGGTGAGCATTGGTTTCCTCAGCCTCCAAGCACTTCACGCAGTGATTGGGTATTGGAAGGCCTCTCCCTTGGAGAAGATCTACTGTGAGAACCGTACCCTACAGAGCCAACCAGAGGAAGAGCTGGATTCTGGGGGGGCAGTTATTGTCTTAGGCACAAGGGTTACCTGGAGCAAGGGAGGAGATAGAGCGAAAGAGTGAAGCCACCGAGAACCTCCCAGAGTGGGATGCAGATCAGATGATGCAATCCTCTCCCCTCTGGGAGCTCGGCATCCCTCAACGACTGACGAAAGTCAGGATTCCACGTTCTGGGTCCACTCTCAAAGGGGAAAAGAGAGAGGATAGAAACAAACTGGTCATGGGCCAGGTGGAAGAGAGAGGGAAAATGAGCAGAGAGGGGAAAGGATATAAGCCAACGATCCAGCCATAAGCGGATACTAGACCCATCGCTAGGGTGGAAATGAATACGTTCCTTGAACAGGGTGAGTAAATTTAAAAGTTAAAATCTCCTTTTGACACAATGTTGACTTTGTTCATCGCCAAATTTAGGATCCTCCAGACTACCATTAGTAAACACATAATATATACCCACAATTATGTCTCCTTTGTCAACAGGTTAATCTACAAATACACCTACCCTTTTTTCATTGGATTTGAGACCTTTTGCATGTTTCAATCCATCAACCTTCAAGGTGACAAATCTAAGGTTTTCTTTAGTCAAGAAATCACATATCATTGTCTTTGTACTTGTGTGATGCTCATGTTCCAATTTTGTTATAGGAATAGCAATTCCTCGGGTTGGAGGTGTCATTCTCCTAACATAGGATGATCTTGCTCCAGGGGTGGATCTTTATGTGGTAAAATTCTTTCTCTGCTCATCTCTATGCTGATTTCAGTCTACTCCCCTAAGCCAATCACATCCGCTTTGGTGTAGCCAGTTACCCAATTTTTCTCTGCTTTTAAGCTCATGTCGATGTCGTCGTGCTCAAACCCATAAATGTGATCAAGTATAACATTAGGTCATTCCCTTTAAAACTTGTGTTCTGATTTACGCCGATCTCCACAAAAACTGGTATAAGGTGGATCTAAAAGCATAGATCTCATCTTATTCGATATGTGTCTGTTGCAATCTTTCTTTTTGCAACTTTTCAACCATTGCCATCATGATGCCAATTTTTTGTATATTTAGTCCTGCCCGGCATTCCCCCGGTTGCAACCTCCACCACCAGCATTCGTAGTTGCTAACCCTTTTCGAACCGTGGTCTAATACCAAATGATGCGAAAGGAAAATAGAAAATTACATCCACCCTCTTTTCAATCCGTAGACAAATAAAAAATAGCAACAAAAGGAGTAAATCAAGTCAATGGAAGAAGCTCTCTTCTTTCTTTCACAAAATACCCAAGTGTCTATCTAATGCGAACATCCCCTCTTAAGTACAAAATAATGATTAAAAGAAAATCTAAAAATTAAAATCTCTCTCTCTCTCCCTCCCTCCTCTGATCTATCACGCTTCTCTTTCTCTGTTCCTCTTTTCTTTCTCCATTCACGCATGGCGACCTATCGCCTGGTGTGATGCCTTCCTGTTCCTAAGACATGAAGAGTGAGCGAGGCCTTAGCTCGAGGGGCGCAAGTCTGGCGCCACCCGGGTTTTCTCTCTTTCTTCTCTTCTTTCACAGCCGGTGCCGCCTGGGTTTTCTTTCTTTCTTCTTTTCTGTCACAGCCAGCGCAAGCCTAGCACCGTCTAGGTTT